CTCGACCTCGAGGTCTAATTGTTAAATAGTAAGAGGGGAAAATAATTCATAAAAGGTCTGAAAATCACTCCAAAGATTACCGGTAACTATGATAATCCACACAGAAGTTATAGCGAAATTTAATGTATCTTTATGCTATAAATCGACTGTTTACATAGAATTACATACATTCTCTCTTATATCAAGTAAAGAGCTTGGGCTACCCGTGGTCGAGAAAAGCCTAATAAGACTTATTGTACCATGTTGAACTTCAACATTCAGGGCTGATTTCTAAGTGTAATATTGCTCTACAACTCTAAGTTTTAAAGTCCCAAAAGGTTCTAAACAGTTGTGCTTTATAATAATGCAATTGTTTTGTAAGTTTAATAGTCTTATTTGTCATCTTTTAAAGTTGGCGATACGATCTGTAAACTCATTACTTGCCTGCATTGATCTTTCAAGTTTGTACTTAAGATTATAAAGGGCTGGCTCGTGCGAAGAAAATTACAACTTACCTTAAAAGGCTTGTCTAACAGAACAAGGACAAAATTTTTAGACAAAACTTTTCCGTATACCCTCCATGGCGGAATGGCGGTTCTTGGAATCAKAATGTCGCTCTTTCCCAGGAAAGACGGAAAATACTTCCTTATTCCCAGTACCTGCGTATTCCTCTGCCACAGGGATCCCAAACATAAGAAGAAATTGCTTACTGATTACTGCAAATTACAATATTTTGATATTCTTGACTTTTCTCAACTGTTTTTGAGAACCGGTCTATAAAAGAACATAAGTAACATGAATGCTTCAACTATTGCATTTTCTCTGAACACAGGGATTTCGGCTGTCTTACTGAGAAAGTTCCAATATCAGTCACAAAAGCTAAATCATAATAATCGTAGTACCTCAGTGAGATGCGCTGTAGTAGAATACCCCCCCCCCCCCCCCCACATAGAGGGGCTTTTGCACACACACAAGTATTTCGACTTGTGTACTTCCCGTTTTCGTGCTTTTTTATATATTATAGCTATCATAGTACGCGCTCTCTGATTGGTCAAATGCTATAATATAAAAGCAATAAACAACATATTTTCGTGCGTTCCTGGTGAAATAAACAACTTGGGATATTGGGAAAACACTCAAAAGGCTGAAAATCCCTTGCCTCTGGCTCGAGATTTTTTACGTCTTTTTTGAGTTCTCCCAATTACATCCCGCGTGATTTATTTCACCAGGAACGCACAAAAATGTGTTGTTTATTGCTAAACTCTACAGTGCACGCAGACGAGGGGGAATAACGAAGCCAAAGCCAAAGAAACTCTGTCCTCCTTACTCTCTACTATCGATACTTTTCTCAATACCATGATGCACTTCAAGCA